ATTTATTGCTACTCTTTTCTATATTAAAAAAAAACAAAAGAGAGAATTATTATTTATAAAAGAAACATTAAGAAAAAGCTTTCGAATAACTGGAGAAATAAATGCCATATGTCACTCATACTTTTGGCTAAGATTTTTTCACGTACCTTTAATCTTTTGAACTTTTCTCTGAAATGGGTTAAGTGTTAGACATGTACTTACTTACGTCATCTAGTTCTTGCTTACGGCGATTGTGAAATGTTTGTGTCCTTTCTATGTCGAATCTTGATGTTAGTAGTTACGAAAAACTTTTTCTAATATATATATGTATCTTCTATCTATCTTCTATACTATAATAAAACTGTAGAGGTCGAATGTCTGTACATAGAAATAAAATGCTAAAAACCGAGCCAGGGGGATGTAGAGAGAAATAAAACAAATTTAGATTGTTTTAATTTTTTTTCTATCTCTGTCTGTTTGTACGGGCTAATCTCCGAAACTGTTGAACCGATTTAAATTATTTTCTTTCTGGTAGTACCTTATATCCCCGGTCAACATTTAAGATATTTTTCATTCCGAAAAATTAAAGACTTCCCATGGGATAGTTAAAAACTATAACAACTTATTACACAAATACTACTAATAGGATTTTAATGAAACTTTACAATAATATAGTTCATACATCAGCCGCTAGTCTATAATATTATAATAAACTTTAGTTTAGAAATATAATAATATAGTTTGGTTCTGTATTACATGAACATCACGTGACTAAGACTATATATATATATATATATATATATATATATATATATATATATATATATATATATATAATTTCTACGATTAAAAAAAACCTTAAAAAGGTTCAATACTACAAATTACAAAAAGTTAATTTACATCTTTTTTTAAATAAAATGAACACACTAATATGTCCAATAGAAATCAGAGATATTATTACATATTAATATTTTATAATAACATAATTAATCTAATATATTTAAAAGAGCAATTTTTGTATATTTATTTATTTATACCGGCGATCACGGAAACGGCTCTAACGATTTCGCTGAAATTTCGGAAGCGAAAAATCGATCTAGATTAGGCTTATGTCTGGGAAAATGCGTGTTTTCGAGTTTTCATGCTGTTTTCTTTCGCATTGTTCCACGCAAAATATAATCGCTAATTTCGCACGCTCGGACATAAGCATTACAAGATAAACAATCACACTGACACGCAAAATAGGCGCATAGTCGTCGAGTTGCGGAAAACAGCCCGAACATACCATACCATACCATAGACAATCACACGGGTCCGGGTTCAAATCCCAGTTGGATACAAAATATTTTCTTATGTTTTTTGTTCTTTTTATGTATTTATTTAAATTTTTAGTTTTTTTATCTAAAAAATACGATATAACAAAAAAGAAGTCCGAGAGAAGCTCGGTCGCCGAGGTACTGTATATAATTTAAGCATTCACTTCACATCTATGATAGAAACTAAGTGCCTCGGAAACCTGAAATACACGTTTAATGCGTAAATAATTACGCATCATGTTGTTGTGTTGTTTACACCTAAAGTGACTGTTTGCGCAAATCACATGGTGTTTGCCTCGTTACTAGAACGTGCTCTTATAATGCCTTTGCAAATATGTGGAAAGCTTACAGGTGATTGTGTGATTATGCTCTGAATAATGCAGCTTTATTGTAACTTATGATGCTCTTTCAATTTTAGAATCTGAAAAATAGCTTTCCGGGTTACGGAAAAGAAAAAAAAACTGTATAGTATATATTTGTGGAATAGATGTAAATCCACCCAGATTTTTTTTTATCTTTCTATTTATATTTATAGGTGCATAAGTAGTTACGTCAAATTAATATATCATTGGCTCACTATTACAAGGTTCTATGTTACAATTTTAGTACTTATTTAGTTATGAATGCTACAAGGTTCTATGTGTCATTAGCTACAGTTTTGCAACAACAAACCACTAGATAGCGGCATTTTAGCTACAAAATATTCAATTTTACATAGTTCTATGTTGTTTTTTTTACGATAACAAAGTACGAAGTTCTATGTAAAAAGTACTAAACTTCATTAAAGTTAACATAGAAGCTTGTAAAATAGTAAGCCAACGAATTATGTATTTCTGAAAACTAACTTATAATAAAATGAAGAATCGTAATTGTCCTCAAATATTATTTTTCAAAGTATCTCAATCTCGTAAGTGTTTTATCTATAATAATGACTCCTTAAACAACACTCCTAAATACTTTTACTTATTCGATAAATCTGTTAGGATTACTAATTTATATACCGAATTTATACTCTGTGTTTATAAAATGTATTTTCTGAATGTCAGTTGACACTTGTCAATATTTTAAAAAGTAGGTCAACCCTACTTTTCGTTATGAACTTTGTTAGAATATTTAGTTTAGTCTTGCTTCATATTTGGTGGAAAGCAGTACAATATATACATTAATTACGAGAATAACGACGTTTTATTGGCCATCCCGTCATCTCAGAAGTGGGATGTACGGTGTTAATTCTACAACACATATCGGCTAACGACATTTTACATCGATATGAATATGAGTACATCAAAAAGTCCTCATCATAGTGAAACTGTAAGGCTTGTAAGTGGTACACCTACATTACCGAGGGACAAGCAAACGAACGACGTGACTCGATTACAATGTGAAGATGCTCGTGGAATTCATAGAAGTCAGGCGCGGCATCCACGACGACGTGAACGTAGTAGCAGTTCAAGCAGTTCAAGTTGTCGGAGTAATACGCGGGTTGACATGCGTAAACGACGAATTTCTGGAAGCCGTTCCAAGAGGCGAAAAGCAAGAAGACGTCGACACAGCAGCAGTGGCAGCCGAAGTTCAGCAGCCTCGCGGATTCGATCTCGAAGACGACGACAGAATACTGAAGTGGATAGTCAACAGGACCAGAGAAAGAGGGTACGTACTTCTGTTGATAATAGTTTGTATGATACTCATTTACTCATTCGGGAAATGTTACAAACAATGAACAATAGTCAAAGTCGAACCGACAAATTTCCAGTCCTAGGCAATGTTATACCCGAATTCGACCCAATGTCGAAAGATCAAACAGTGCATATGTGGATTAGTAAAGTAGAGGAGTGTTCACAGATATATGGTTGGTCAGATAGGCAAATTATTCATTATGCTTTGCCAAAATTAGCTGGGTTAGCCAAGTCATGGTACGAGGGATTACCCTCCTTATTATTTAGTTGGACTGAGTGGAAAGATAAATTATTAGAATCTTTTCCTAGTAGAGATGACTATGCAGAATTGCTTACAGAAATGTTATCAGTAAAAGCTAAAATAGGTGACTCATTAGAACACTATTATTACGCTAAAATAAAATTATTAAATCGCCTTGAAATTTTCCATAAACGTGCGGTAGATTGTTTGTTATATGGGTTAGATGATAGGTCTATCAGGTTAGGTGCAAAGGCTGCTAGTTTTACTGAACCTGAACAAGTATTAAAATATTTTAAATCTATTAAGCAACAGTTACGGGATACAGATAGAAGTAAAATTTCATTTGAAAAGAGAAACAATCAAAACACTATAAATAATAACATTAGCTCTAATAATAATAACAAACCAATACGTTCTCAAAATGATAACGCACAGATTATCTGTTACAATTGTAATGAACCTGGTCACTATAGCTATAGATGCACAAAACGTATTTTGCGATGTACAATATGTAATAGAATAGGTCACTTGGCGGCAACATGTCCGAAGTTACCGTCAACAAGTAATGAAAAAACGGATAAAACTGTATTGAAAGTAAATAATGATTCAGATACAAATCAGAAATTTATTTTGGATGTAGAAATTAATGGTGTAACTATGCAAGGTTATATAGATTTAGGTAGTCAATGTACTTTGTTACGCCTTAACGTTGCACTAAAACTAAACTTAAAATGGAAAGAAAGTAACTTACCTAATTTGAGAGGATTAGGCAATAACTTAGTTCTACCAATAGGATCAACTATAGTAAAAATTAAAATTCAAAATATTATTGAAACCGTAGAGGTTTTTATTGTTGCAGATCATGTAATTAGTTATCCCATATTAGTAGGCCACTCATTTACCGAAAAACCGGGAATCACTATTACTAAAACACCCTATGGCTTGATTTTTAAGCGATATCCTAATCAAAAGCTTTGTTTATTTTCGAACGATAAAGTCACGATACCTGCGAAAACCGTAGGAATAGTTAAAGTCACTTCAGATACTAATTATACAGGTTCTTTTTATGTTAATGGTACTATACGAGGAAAGCCTAAATATAATTTTTATTTAATGCCAGGCGAATACAATTTTGAAAATCAACAAAGTTCTATTTTAGTTTTAAATCTCTCTGACAATGAATTAAATATTAATAACAATATTTTAATTAATAGAGCTAAAATAATTGATAATGAAAAGACAGTTAATATTTTAAGTTCAGAAGATTTAAATAAACTAAATGTAGGTAACATTTTAAATAATGAACAAATAGATAACTTAAAAAAATTACTTTACGAATTTAACACTTGTTTCTCGTCTGGTCTTAAAGACTTAGGATATACAGATATTGTTAAAATGGAAATAGAATTAACTGATTCTAAGCCTGTCGTTTATCGCCCGTATAGGTTACCATATGCAGATAGAGAACTAGTTAGGGTAATGGTCCAAGATATGTTAGATGCTGGAGTGATAAAAGAATCAAAATCCTCATACGCTAGTCCTATTGTTCTAGTAAAAAAGAAAACGGGAGATAAGAGATTGTGTATCGATTATCGTGCCTTAAATAATAAAACTAAAAAAGAACACTATCCATTACCTCTCATAGATGATCAGCTAGATTTATTATCAGGTAATAGTTTATTTATTTCTCTAGATTTATTTTCGGGTTACTATCAAATAGCTATTTCGGAAGGCTCTCAGAATAAGACAGCATTTGTCACTCCGGATGGACAGTATGAATTCACAAGAATGCCATTCGGATTGGCAAATGCTCCATCTATATTTCAAAGGACAATGAATAAAATACTCGCAGAAGCTAAAATAAAATATGCTTTAATTTATATGGATGATGTTTTAATTCCAGCTAAGTCTTATTCTGAAGGAATAAGTAGGTTGCGTGAGGTTCTAAGTTTACTACAGAAGGGGGGGCTTACCTTAAAATTAAGCAAATGCCATTTCTTTTATGATAAAATTGATTTCTTAGGGTTTGAAGTTAGTGCGAACGGTATAAGACCGGGCTATCAAAAAACATTAGCTATTTCAGAATTTCCAAAACCAAAAAATATACATGATATTAGACGATTTATCGGTTTGACAAGTTTTTTTAGAAGGTTTATAAAAAATTTCGCGATTATTGCTAGGCCGTTAACTGACTTACTTAAGAAAAATTTTTCATGGAATTGGACAGATCAACAAGAAAATTCATTTATTACATTAAAAAGTAAATTAGTGGAAAGACCTATATTGGCACTCTATGATCAAAAGCTTGAAACTGAATTGCATACAGATGCGTCTAAAATAGGTATAGCTGGAATCTTATTGCAAAAAGGGGCTGATAATTTGTTACGACCCGTTGCTTATTATAGTCGAAAAAATACTAGTGAAGAACAAAGGATGCATTCATTCGAACAAGAGACACTTGCGGTAATATCTTCATTAAACAGGTTTAGAGTATATTTATTAGGCATAAAATTTAAAATTGTAACAGACTGTAGTGCCTTGCGTACAACATTTACAAAACGTGATCTTATTCCACGTATAGCGAGGTGGTGGATTCAATTTCAAGAGTTTGATTGTGAAATTGAATATCGACCAGGGAATAAAATGGGCCATGTCGATGCGCTTAGTAGGGGTCCTGTTAATGATTCTAATCCGGATACTGACTTACAAATATTAGACGTATTAAATTTCACCACTGAAGATTGGATAGCTACTATACAGAATAATGATGAGGAAATTAAGAGAATAAAGGAAATACTGGAATCAAAAAATACTAAAGATACCGTTGATATATATAACTAGCGGCTCACCCTCGCTTCGCTCGGGTTCGTCGCTAGGTACGTTTTAAATAGATATAAAAAGAAAAAATCTTTCTTTCTCACATTTTAATTATATGTTTTAATACTTACCTATTCCGGACTAAGAGAAATCCAAAAATTAAAATATCATAAAAATTGGAACGCGGTCGAACGGGATAAAAAGTATCCTATGTCCTTCTCCTGGCTCTAAACTACCTCCCTGCCAATTTTCAGCTAAATCGGTTCAGCCGTTCTTGAGTTATAAGCGAAGTAACTAACACGACTTTCTTTTATATATATAGATAATTATCAGTTGAAAGGGGGTAAGGTTTACAGAAACATAGATGGAGGTATTAGATGGGTTGTACCAAGGGGTGTTCGATGGCAAATTCTACGCATGAATCACGATGATATCGGTCACTTCGGATTCGAAAAAACTCTTGAACGCGTAAGATCTACATATTGGTTTCCTAAAATGAGAAAATTTATTAAGAAATATTGTAATTCATGCCTAGAATGTGCATATCATAAAGTTCCGGGAGGTAAGAAAGAAGGAATGTTATTTCCTATACCTAAGAAAGATATACCGTTCCATACAATACACGCTGATCATCTCGGTCCCTTCGTTCGTAGTCGAAGAGGAAACACCTTTATTCTAGTTATTATAGACGCATTTACTAAATATGTCAATTTAACGGCTGTAAAGAATACAAAAACGTCAAGTACAATCAATGTATTTAAAAATCATTTTAGTTACTTTGGAAATCCACAAAGACTTATAACAGATAGAGGTTCCTGTTTCACTAGCAATCAATTTAAATCTTTTGTTCAAGGCCGTGGTATAAAACACATCCTAAATTCAGTAGCAACCCCAAGGGCAAATGGTCAAGTTGAGCGGTTTAACAGGACCATTTCTGATGCGCTCAGTACAAAGTGTCATGGACTCAAAGATAACTTGTGGGATGAATGCTTGCAAGATATTCAGCTTGGGTTAAATACAACAATTCATAAAACTACACAAAAGAGTCCATCAGAACTATTGTTTGGGCATAAAATAATAGGTAGTGCAGAAAACATAATAAACGAAATATTTGATGATACAGAAGATCGATTAACTGAAAATGAACTTGTAGGTATTAGGAAAGACGCTAGTGATCGAATGAGAGATAATGAAATGGCGATGAAAAATAAATATGATAAAAATCGTAAAGCAGGTCATTCATACAAAATAGGTGATTTGGTTAGGATAGAACGTAATTACAATGAAAAGGATAGTGCAGGTAAACCAAAGAAATTATTACCAAAGTTGCAAGGACCATATAGAATTTGTAAAGTGTTACCTAACGATAGATATTTAATCGAAGACACACCATTAACTCGTAAAAATAATAAGCGATATGAAAATGTAGTTGCGTTAGATAAGATTCATCCATGGGTCAGTTTTCAAAGAGATATTTGTAGTTCACAAAGTGATGATGATAATAATGATTCAGAGTAATGAGTAACATACTAATTGTTTCAACAGTAAGTAATTTATGATTTGAAATGAGAAAATAGTCAGTGCTGAGACACAGATGATTACAGTAGCAGACTACAGCGTGGGCAACTTTGTTAGTGCTAAAGATTAGCATAGATAACTAAGTCGCAGACTGCGCAGATGTAGGCTACAGATGTATCAGTGTCATGATTAATTTTGCACAGATGACAGAGGGCAGACTGCGGCGGTGTAAGCTGAGCGGTGAGTGTTATTTAGCATGGATATCCCCAGCAGATTATACCGTTCGTAGGCCCGTGATACGGTCAGTGCAGAGAAAGAGATAGCACAGATGACTATAGAAATCTGATACCTGATAGAGGAATTTGAAATTTAATAATTAGTTAGGTGATATTAATTTTAATTATTATATTATAGTAATTAATGTATTTGGTCACATAGATGATTTGTATTTTTTTTGTGTATTGCTATTTATTAATGTTAAATTAATTAATATTAACTTAAAATGAATTTGTTAAGATTTATAAGATTATTCCTTTGATTTACTTTTATGTTGTTGTTTAATTAGCTAATCGAGCACTTAAATATGTACATTTATGAAAAAAATCTCTTTTGTTTTGTAGTTTTCATTGTTTTGCGAGAGGACTCGCCTTTGCTCAGGAAGGCCGAGCTGTTAGGATTACTAATTTATATACCGAATTTATACTCTGTGTTTATAAAATGTATTTTCTGAATGTCAGTTGACACTTGTCAATATTTTAAAAAGTAGGTCAACCCTACTTTTCGTTATGAACTTTGTTAGAATATTTAGTTTAGTCTTGCTTCATATTTGGTGGAAAGCAGTACAATATATACATTAATTACGAGAATAACGACGTTTTATTGGCCATCCCGTCAAATCATTCATCACGTGAAAATGTCTCAACTGCATTTAACCATTTTCTTTATCTTACTTCTTATTAATATTATAAATGCTGTGGGCTACATTATTTTTTTTCTAGAGGCGAATCTGTGCGAGGCGAGGGTGAGCCGCTTCTTCAAAATAATATGTAAAAAAGATGCCTATGCGCTATGAACAGGAAATATGTTTTTGTAGGGATAATTAAAGCATCCCATAGAGCCCCGTCGAGAAATAATGTCATGGTAACTACTACCTATAGCGCGTAATGCAATAAATGCTTCGTAATAAAACATTGTTGTGATTTTAGTATTAAATAAAATATCAAATAAATAAATATGTCGGGACATTAACACACAACACCATCTAAATCCGTGGTAAGCTACAAGGCTTGTAGAAAACATGATACACTACACATATGTAACTTTAAATACATACGTATTATAAATATAAACGCCCATGACTAAAGTACGTTCATTCGTGCTCATCACACAAATGAATGCCCCCAGCAGTATTCGAACCAGCAAGTAGGGTCACTACAAACTGAGCCAAACATGACGTCGTTTTGTATTATATTTGAATATACATATACACTAAATAAGCAAAATAATTATTAATCAAAGAATAAAAAAGACAATAAATAGTATTTATTATTATATTATTTGTTGTTAATATTTGCTATACAATAAGCGGAGAGAATTATTTTATAGCAAAAGAAAGAATTATAATTTATAAAAGAAAGGTTAAGGAATAGCTTTCGAATAACTGGTGAAACAAAAGCCATATTATGTGTCATACTTTTACCTATAACGTGTAATGCAATTGTTGTATGATTAATGCTTCATAGTAGAACACTGTTTTGTTATATCCGTGCTAGTAGCGTCACGTGCACAGCTTTTAATATAAGCTACTATAATTTCTACTTTAAACTGACTCTACATGCACTCTACATGTGCATATTTATTACTCGCTTTGCTCGGGTTCGTCCCTAGCTTGCTTCCCAATACAAACTTTCATACCCATTTTCACTCCCTTGAGGGATGATTTCCGAGATAAAAAGTATGTCCTTGCCAGGGTCTCAAACTATCTTCGTACTAAATTTCATCTAAATCGGTTCAGTAGATCCAGATATTACCCCCTACAACCTCACAAACTCACAAACTTTACTTCCTTATAATATTAGTATAGATTATTTTTCGATTGTTATTATACTTTTTTTAATTTGAATCCTGGGTCTGTACCACTATCCACTTCTAGTATCCACTTCTAGTATTTTCATGTGCCAATCATTTCCAACTTGATTACCAACTTGTCTTACGGTGAAGGAAAACATCGCGAGGAAACCTACATGTCTGAGAGAACCTAGCAAGTTTTCGAAATACATGTGAAGTCTGCCAACCCACACGTGCCGTGGACATGACAAAGAGCTGTATACAATTATATTTTACTACTTGCTACGAGTAGTACCTACTTCTGCCAAAACACTACAGTAAGACGATTTTTATTATTTTTTAATAATAATAATAATATATAGTTTTCAATACCTATTCGTAATACAAATCATAATATTTGAAAGTCCAAATAGATTCTGGCGCGTTTAAAATATTGATAACAAAAAGGCCTTATGGAAATAAGTTTACGGATCACTAAGCATCAAGGTCTGCTAAATATTAAGCAGGAGTACTAAATATTTATTTTGTTTTACATCATCTCCCATTGAAAACATATTTATTATTTATTTTACTTTATAATTGTATTTTCATTGTAGGATATGAGTATTATATAGTATACTCATATATTAAATTCGATAAGTTGCACGCATGAAGACGTCAAAACGTTGGAATGTTGTTCAACTGAATTAATGACGATGAGTAAGCGTAAGTTATATCTTCAGATATACAGGATGTTTAATCTATACATACCTATAATAAAATTTTAACTAAGCCGAACATAAAATATTTTCTGGAAAACCTCATTGAAATAGACATTATTATCAATACAGAGGCCGAATCTATAGTTTTATAAAATTATTGTCTGTCTGTCTGTAACCGCATCACGGAAAAACCACTGAAGGGATTTTGATTAAATTTGGTATGATAAGAGCTGGTTATCCGGGTCCGGGTCAACATATAGGATACTTTTTACTGCAGGAAAATATATACTAAGCGTTAAAACGTAAGTAGGGACGAACCCGAGCGGAGCGAGGGTGAGACGCTAATATTATCCTATATACATAATATGTATGTAGATAATATTAAAATCATATTATAATTTTATTAAATCAGGGAAAACAAAAATATTAACTATTATCGTTTGGACATATTATTATAACAAAAGTTAAATATTTTTTAATAAATTAACCTACTAATTAAGTTATTGAGTAGGTATTCAGATAGCTAGTCACTTAGAGTGGCTATTTTTACGTTTATTACGGTATTATGCTATTACTATCTTAAGCCCGCAGCTCTGTTTGCCTCTCCATCGTACGTCGATAAATAGTAACCTAAGCGTTATTCCACAATATAAGCTACATCCATTTTGAATCTCACAGATATGAACACTCAAACATTTCCAAACCTACGTATTTATAATGTTAGAGAGATTTGCA